CCGTCCCTAATTTAGTAGTGTAAGACTAGAAGGAAGGTAGCTAGTCATCACCACCCACCGCCAACTCTTGGGCTACTCTTTTGTCAACGAATAGTGGAATTGGCCGTCACTATATAACGTCCACACGACTGAAAGGGCGATCATGTTTGGTGGGACGGAGATTCGAACCCGCGACCTGCAGATTGCGAGTCGAGCTCCCTAACCACTTGGCCATGCCGGGCTTACAAAACTTATGCAATGATATTTAGTAAAGAAATGAAGAAAAACAAATGATCAACATTTTTCATCGGCGCGCATAAACACCTTTTAAAGATGAACTAAAATAGTAAGCTTAGCATATCTTACGTTTGATACTACTCTGTATGTTTTGATACTATCGGGAGTAATTTTATAAATTTTGTAAGATTGAGGATTCGATCCCTGCAGTGGACACGGCATATATAGCCCACTGTGCAACTTTCGCCGCTCCTCAGTGGCACAGCGGTATGTCTGCGGACTTATAACGCTAGAAACCGGGTTTCGGTACCCGTGGTGGGCAGAGCATACGAAGTATGTAAAGTTGTAGGAAACGGAAACTTTGTTAGACTTACTGTTTTATCTCGAGAAAACGTTTCTTATGCTCCGATAAAAACGTTGAATTTTTGGTTTTCTTACGAAACAATACCGGCATATCGCCACTTCTTAGCATCGCTGCAGTGTTATTTGCATGCTGTTTTAGTTGCTAATTTTACTATAAATCGGTTAAAGTGTAAAAGATGTAAGTAAATAAGTTATTTACTTCAATCGCTGCAGTGTTATTTGCATGCTGTTTTAGTTGCTAATTTTACTATAAATCGTTTAAAGTGTAAAAGATGTAAGTAAATAAGTTGTTTACTTCAATCGCTGCAGTGTTATTTGCATGCTGTTTTAGTTGCTAATTTTACTATAAATCGGTTAAAGTGTAAAAGATGTAAGTAAATAAGTTGTTTACTTCATGCCCTACTGTTTAAAACTGTGAGGTAATGTTCTTGATAAGCCACTGTTTCGTCCACTCTTTAATCGTTCATTGTATTCTATGAAGTCTCCTGATGTTTAGTCATTCACAATCTAAAAGGTTTCTTATCATGCCATAATTCGTTTGTGATCGGTTTCTAATTATAAATTTGTTGTAGGTTTCTTATCATGTAGTAATTGATCTTTAGTTGGTTTCTTGCTATGAATTAATTGATTTTAAGTTGGCTGCCTCTTATGTAATAATTCATTCGTTGTGGGTTTCGTATTATGTGATGATTTATTTGTATTAGCTTGTTATTGTGTAATAATTCATTTGTAGTTTGTTTGTTATCAAATATTAGTTCACTGTGTAGTATATTTCTATTTTATTGTAATTCATCTGTACGGGTTTCTTATGAAGTAATCATGAATCTGTGATAGGTTTGTTATCAAGTGTTGATTCACTGTGTAGTATATTTCTGTTTTATTGTAATTCATCTGTATGGGTTTCTTATGAAGTAATCATGAATCTGTGATGGGTTTGTTATCAAGTGTTGATTCACTGTGTAGTATATTTCTGTTTTATTGTAATTCATCTGTACGGGTTTCTTATGAAGTAATCACGAATCTGTAATAAATTCCTTATCTGTAATTATATATAATTATTATAACCCACACAATCGTGTTTCTTCTTCTGTTCGCTATCTTCTTCACAGCTTTGGTCTGAACATCATCGATATCAACCAGGAAGGGTCCTAATGGGCTGAGATTTTAGAATTACCTCCACGGGGTAGTCGAATGTACCCTTGGGTTAAATATTGGTAAGAATATTCGTCACATTCCGAAAGCAAATGGCCATATAGTAGAATTGTCTGTTTGTCTGGTGTCACAAGTTGTTGTGAGAGGATGATTGAACTAAATCCGAATAAATGTGGTATAGGAACTCAGGAAAAGAACGAATTTTAACGCACAACTAGTCGAACGAATGGAGTGAACTGGATAAGATTTTAGGTTCGATTTTATGAGACCTGGGAGGGTCATGTACTCTTTCGGCCTCTTCCTCCCTCGAGACAGTTCGTCTGCGCTCTTTTTTTTTTTTTTAGTGCTTTGATACTGGATACGTCGAACATATGTTCCAAACTTGGCTTGGATAGATAAACCATTCATAGAAATTCTATCGGTCCCAGGTTTGTTGTCATCTCTACAGCTTATTGTCGTTTCGGCTCTTCCAAGACGTCGTGCCGGGTGTTTCACATCTGAGTTGCTGGAGTTTGTTTCAGTTCCACTCTATTTCTTTTTTTTTGTGTGATATTAAAATGTTAGATTTATTTACTGCTGTCCATAAATATATTTTAACATTTTTTCCTTTTCCAGCCATAACCTTTTACGGGCTGATATCATCTTTATTTACACGATCGTGTACATATCTCTAACGTATGCTTACATAAAAGTTCTGTGTTTAGAATGCAGTTTCTTGTAGTGCTTTAGTAAAAATACACCGATATTTTTATTTCTATACACATAAAATAAGCTATGTTTGTGTATCAAAAAAATTCTTCAATTTCGCCTAGCACTACGTGGTCTTTTTTATGATTATGATATGACGTATTTCATGACTTTGTTTATGATATGTATGTGTTTTTAAACATTTGTAATTATGATTCCAAGTATATCTTTGTGTTCGGTTTGCTTATTTCCTGTCAGAAGTCTGTTACCATACTTGTGATAGCTGTAGCTAGTTGTATGTGTTCTTTATTGTTGCCTTTACTGTGTTGTACTTCTTTTATTGTTAAATCTGAATTATTTTCATGTTGTTGGTTGTTTATTTGTTTATGACTGGTATTGTTTCTCGCAACCTCTGAGTATGTACGTGTTTGTTGTGTATTTGCGGTTGGTGGTTGTGTATGTGTTATTGGTAATAGTGTTTTAATTTGAGAATTAGGGTTGGTAGGTTTGTTTTTTTTTTTAGTTTGTTACTTAAGTATTTATATTGTTTTTTTATGTTGTATATTATTGCTTTGATTTCTTTATATTTCGAACAGCCTTTATAGTTGGCTGTGTGTTGTTCATTACAATTGTAACATTTGGACTTTCCGTGGTTCTCGCCTCAACCCACACAGCATGTTCTAGATCTGCAGGAAACTGCTACATGACCATGTATGTCTTCGACAGTTGTAACATTGGGTCACAGTAATCGCTGGCGCCTTAGCCGTGCAGTTCCGTGGTTCTCGCCACATCTCACACGACGTACTCCATATCTGTAGACAACTGCTACATGACCATGTATTCGACAGTTGTAACATTAGGTCACAGTTATTGCTGGTGTTCTCAATTGTATATATTTATGATACCATAATATAATACCATTTTATGTGTTGTAGTATATTTTCTGTGGTTACTTTGACGAGTTCAGTCCTTTGTTTGGTTACTGCTGAAGTTATTGGTTTTACTTTGCTCCCACGAACGGTTTGAGTTTGGAAGCCAGTTAAATTTTTATCGCCGTAATGGCGTGCACGAAGGCTCAACTGGGCGAGGAAGTCGGTGGCAAAATACACGAAGCGAAAGTGACGATGGTAAATTCCATACGTAGTACATGTATCATTGTATCGGACCAAAAGATCGTGTACTACGGCTCAAAATAGTGGAAGAGTGCGGTCGAAGCTCACATAAATAAGCATTACTTCTTAAGCCTAACATTGCCTGGTAGTTTTGCTTGTTAAATATATATTAATTCATATCGTGAAATATTACCAAGTATACAGTGTTTCCGTCGGTTTGTTATTTTGTAATTATCTCTTTGTGTGGTTGGTTTTACGTAAAGTACTCGACCCAGTGAAAGTCTTATTCTAGCGGAGTTTTTAAATAGAGACGTTACAATTTCTGTTAGATATGCACATAAGTCACACCTAAAGAAAAAGTACCGAAAAGAAACCCAAATTCATCAACAGTGAATTTTTTTTCCCCAAAATGTTGTTTTAAGTTACTTTAGTAAAAATAGATGAAAACAATATTCATTTCTCCAAGTTGAAACAGTCTTAAGTATGTTACGACACTGAACGAAATATGTTTGATTTCACGTCAGGAAGTTCACATGGCCGAGTTCAGTAGCTCGGCTTTTCGATTAAGTAGGATATCCTGTCCCACGTGCTTCAAGAGGAGTCTATTTCCGTAATAACAATGACCGTCCGTTCTTTCAATTATTCTGGCCCTGTACTTTGTTTCAGTTGCACATACATACTCGTTTATCCTAGCACTCGTCTATTAAAGTATTTCAAGTCCAAGGTATTTTTTCAGGCCTTTAAACAGACTTGTTCTTGTTGAAATTTTTAAAGTTAAACTACTGAGTCATATATTCTTTCAGACCAGATCTTACGGTTTCAAAAATGGTTTGATACCGGTTCGTGAATATTTTAAATTAATAACGATTTTTGGTTTTGGAAAGAAGACGGCTTATTGAACGACCGGTCTGCAAGATTCGTAGTAAAATATAATTATTTCGGAATAAAGTTTCTCTACAATTTTTTTTTTGTCTTCCGTACTGCTGAGTTTTCAGAAAGGACTGGCTTCGGTCAATTTATAACGTTGATTGAGATGTTTAACAGAGGCTCATTTCAATCAATCATAATACAAAGGAAAGAAAATTTATCCGTTTTAATAATTGCTTTTTTTTGTAGAATTAAATATGTTTACTTAGTATAATATTATTTTACTGAAGAAGTAAAATTGAAATTGATCTTACTATTGGGCTCTGTCGATTTTGAAACGTCAAGACAAATTCGTAGTAATTTACAACACTTCGTTGTTTCTCCCACTGGTTCAGTTACAATCTGTTCTACCTTTAAATTTTTTATTGCTGACGTGTTGTGTATATCGTTTTATGTTCCTACTGACTTTTGATTTAAGCATATTTTTTTACGTTGATCATTATTTTTCATTGATTAGCTCGTTATAGAATATTTTGGTGGTTATATGTTCTGGCTTCTGCTAGGAATTGAATATAGTATGATATTAACATATAGTCTTTATAAATAATTGATATTAAATTAATGGTATATTTCTCTAGTTGGTGCTTCTTAAAGCAGCTGACTTTAACGTTGACCCCAGGATCACTGAAAGTAGGTTTCTTTGCTGTACTTCACACAACGGGAAACAGATGTTTTATAAGTTTCCGGCTTCCCACCTGGTTGGCTAGGTTTGACAGGGCGATACAGCTGACTGCACTGCACTGAAACACCATTGGCACCAAAGCGTTAGTTAGTTTAATGTATCTCCGTTGTTACTCGATGAACTGGACTGACATCGAGCAGTTTGTTCAGTTAGCGGAGAGCTCGTTTTGTAAAGTGGGTTTGAGGCAGACGGTCGTGAAAATGGTTTAATCAAAATTATGACGACAACAGAAATATTGAATTATTTTTCCCATTACTTGTGCCGTCGGTTTGCCAAAGTGACTAGGACTGTTTTGCCAATAGTTTCGTTAATCGTCGGATCGAGCAGGACCGCTTTCTCAGGATTCTGTTACGCTATAACTTCGTTTAAGGTTCACCTGACTTGAATAAACAAATATTCAGTTTGTTTTATGATGAAGAGTTTTATAGGTTGTTTTTTCACACTCTTGGTGAATTAAAGCAATGTTTGCGCAAGACATACCATGAAGACAGCAAAGAGCTTTCGAGTAGACGGAAGCGATATAGCTGAAGGTTTGTAGATTGGGCAGTTAATTAGGATATTAAGAGTGACGTGACTGTTTCTAATGAAAGTTAAGAAAAATATACCATATTCATGACAAAAACGGTCAGAAACCGTCCTTTGATGCCCTTAATAGCCCCCTCCGGAGCTCTTTCCAGCACGTGATGTATCCTCGTCGATACTGCAGTGTGTGGCCTCATCGCGGCATCTATTACGTCAATAACCCACCTGTAAGTATGCCAGCTGTGCAACCGCTGCTTTGTGTGTCTAGCTGTAGGTTTTGTTTGGCATCTCTATAGAATGACTCAGACATTATTTATAAAAGTATCTATGTAGTCTCAAACTACGCTTTTTTTAAACATAGGTAAAAACTTAATGCAGAATTTAATTTAAAATTAACATACCTTCGTTACAACTAAAAACAACAACATCATACAGTATTAAGAAACACAATGCACATGTTTCGCCTGGCACCAGTCATGGAGATAATATAATGCTATATTATTCTGTTGATGACTGGCTGGTGCCAGTCAATGTAGATTTGTGTTGTTGTTTTTTAAATACTTATTCATTAACGTAGGTATGCGAATTTTAAACTAAATTTAGCATGAATTTTTTTTTATCCATTCTTACTATGCTGTCCGATGGTAAGGACGAGCATGCTCGTCGGTGGGTTTCGACCTGCAGATGCTATCGAGTGCTCTAGCCAAAAGGCCGTGCTAGGCCAGGTATGTATAGAGAAAGTATTGTTTAAAGGTGGTCAAAGTTTGGTTTGGTTTGTTTTTAATTTCGTGAAAAGCTACTCGAGAGCTATCTGCGTTAGCCGTACCTAATTCATCAGTAATAGACTTGAGGAAAGGCACCTAGTCAACACCACCCACCGCCAACTCTTTGGCTACTCCTTTACCAACGAATAGTGGAATTGACCGCCACATTATAACGCTCTCACGCATGAAGGGGTGAGTATGTTCGGGACGGGGTTTCGAACCCGTGACCCGCAGATTGCGAGTCGAACGTCATAACCATCAGGACATGCCAGGTCGTATATAATCAAAGAAAAGACCAAACACTGTGCACGTAAGAGAGAGACGGAGGAGATACGTACAACAGGGCATGAATTAAAAGTCACGTAGAAAATGCATGTTTAATAAATGAAGAGTCCCGAGAAGAAAAAAATTAAAGATCAAGGCATTTTTGTAATTGAAATAATTGTTCGCAATAAAATCAGTTTCTGTTTAATATTCTAAGTTTATTGTTCCTAAATAATTATCCCCATATGTTAAATTCTAAAAGTTATTAACTTCCCGTTTCATTGGCACATTTTCAGAAAGTTGCAGGTGTAATATTCACTGGATGCATCTCGTCAGATTTTTGAAATAACACGTGCCTTTTAAAGCAATTGATCACAGAAAGCTGAATATATTATTACGATCAAAAATATCTAACTCTGTATTTAAGATTCATATAGTTTGCTTATTTACACCTTTCCATCAAGACAGAACATTTCTTTAATATTATTATTATTACTACCATTTTATATTTTCAGTAGTAAGGTTATTATTTTTTCAAAATGATTTTTTTTAAGAAGTAGTTTTGCTCGTTTTTGGTTTTCATAAGTTTGTTTATTTTATTAATGTATTTTTAAGAACTTAGTGTTTCAGAATTTTAAAGGACTTGTTTGTTGTTATCTGTGCTGTGCCTAGTACGGGTATCGAAACCCGGTGTTAGAATATTAAGCTTTCAGACCTACTGCCAAACCAATTGGGGGAGGAGGGGTGCATTTAAAAGATAAAAACCCGGAAGTTTGCCTTCAGTATTGATTAAGCTGGTCATTTAGAATCGTTGTTAAAATTGTATTTCTGTTCTCATAAAAAAAGTTCTTATTACTGCCTGTCTCCGGTCTAACTTTACTAGGGGATGTATAGGTACTTTAATGACATTAAGTTTCAATATCTGTTGTTTCGAGAAATAAAAGTATTCATAAAGTTATATTGTCTCTTTCCTAAAAGTGATATTTCACATTTTAAAAAGTTTCGGTGAAGAGAAATTGATTATCCTAGTCTTCGCAATCAAGCCATTCTCGACTTCCGTTTAGTTCGTCGGTAATAAATCTACGGACTTACAACGCTAAAATCCGGGTTTTGATTATCCGCGTTGGACACAGCAGATAGTCCAATGTGGCTTTGATCTACTATAGGGGTCGACAACCCTTCAAAGAAGAAGAGCCATTTTCTTGTTTTTATTTAAGAACAAAACATTTCGAGAGCCGCAATATACCTTAACGATCTAAACGTAAAAAAAAAAAAAAAGTCCCCAGTGGGACAGCTGTAAGTCTTCGGTTTACAACGCTATAAAACAAACTAATAAACTCACCTATTTCTGTCATCATTGTAGTTCTACACATTTCAAATAATTTTGTCATCACCTTATTTTGACATATTAATAAATAACCAGACTGACCATTATTGTTTAAAATATAGGATTCCCTGACGCTGTGCACCCTAGGAATTGGAACGGCTTTTGGAGATGGTGTATTAAACAACAGTCCTCATACGGCCACCGTGATAACTAACGAACATTGTGAACTGCTTAGGATTGAACAGCGGGATTTCCAAGAACTATGGGAAGTATGTTTATTTACTATCTGTTGATTAATTCAGTATATGACTTATTTTGTAGCACTTGCTATCTATGTTGGTTTCATTGTTTATAAAATCTTTGAATAGTTGATATTGAAAGATCTAGCATAGTGTGAATATCTTATGAGGAATGTGCTCAGGAAACACTAATACTATTGATAAACATGTTAACAGAATGTCACGGATGAGCGGCTCATAGAACGACTCAGTTTTTTTCTTTTTTCAAGTACAAACTTTTAGTTCATAAATCCATAATCTCTTGACTGATTTGAGATCTAATTACAGTTTTAGACTCGGGAGGTCAAACTCTTTCGATTAATGTATGTGATCACGACCAAGGTCTCATAGATTAATTAACTCTATTCCCGCCTAAAAGAATTTCAGTTTGAGGGTAGGCTGGTAGAAATTCTAATGAGTAATAAAATCGAATTGGATATACACACGACCCACGCTTGGTATTACTGGTGCACAAAAATATAGCTAATAAAAAAGAAAAACAATCGTCTCGCAGATTACGTTTTTCTAATCCTACCTAAAACAAAAGGGAATCCTCAATAGCCGCGGCACTTGAAATTCTTTCAGGCAGGATTAGAATAAATTAATCTATGAGACCGTTTTTTTTCTTCTTCTAAAATCCCACCCAAAACACGGTAGTAGCTGTACATAACAGGCAATACAACATCTGACTCTTCAATTTTTTAAGGTGTTTCCTCCGCGGTTTTCGCGAGTTCTTTCGATAGAGATGATTGAGGAAGGCTTAACGAAGATTACTTACCGCTATAATATGGATAAATGCAGTACCTGCCTGATCATGAACACTTCTACTAGTTCGTTGAGGAGGAACACAGTCCAGTCAAACCTCAAATTCCTCATCTTCGTTGGAGAACACAGATGAGAGATGAGTTCTTTTGGCTGTAAAGTGTGGTTATTTGAGTTTAACAGATTGAGCCCTTGATCAGAATTCATTGAATTCCACATGTCGTGACACCCCTCTGTAGCCCACCCAATCCTTCCCTCCCCCAAATTCGGTCTCACTGACTCGTAGACTGGGTGTTAATATAGTTATCAGTAGCTTATATATTGGTTTTTAACTTACAACCCAACAAAGTGCAGTACTCTTAACAGTTAAAGGGACAATTATTTGTTACGGTCTAAAACATTAAACCAGGACGCAATTCCAGAAATAAGTATGTTATTGTTGATTGGTGTTCTGGTTGATCGTTTAACTGAGTAGAAATTCTATCGTATAGTAGTAGTACTAGTAGGTTTTTAATGGATTGTTTATCTTGTTAGAAATTAAGACAAAACGACAGTAGTTATTTAATTTTGGTGATCGTTTGCATGAGAGCAAAGCCACATTGTGCTATGTCCACCTTGGGGAATCGAACGCCGGATTTTAGCTTTGTAAGCTCATACACTTACCGTTGTCCCACCAGGGGGGATTAAGTTTGGTGTAACCAGATTGATTGTAAAGACACTATCAATTTTTTTCTTTTTGATCAGTTTTCGATAAGAGTAACCCAAGTGTTGCCGGTGGGTGCTGTTGACTGGTTGCCTTACCTCTAGTCTATCAGTTCAAAATTAGAGAAAGACATGTGCAGATATCTCTTTACACAAATATCCGAAACAAATAAACAAGATTTTATCTCATGGTAGTTTTACTTATTCGTTATTAAAAATATACACATAATGATGTAAAGTTGAACTTTCTTGCCTACTACTTGATCGAAAACTATTTCTTAACGGTCAAACTAGTTGAACGTTGTGCATTAATAACTAACTTAAAACTTGTATAATTGTCGCTATCCTTTATAACAGTATATACAGCTTTTAATATCTTTTATAAATGTATCTTTTTATTGTATTTGATAAGTCTAATATTCTGGAAAACCGTATTTATTAAATGACATTACATTATTGGAAATTACAAGTCAGTATGTCACTGTCAACATTCCAAGGCACACCTGGCGAGAATGAGCATTGACGTAAATACACAGTGACGTCTTCACTACAAACCCGTGACAACTTTGAATGGATTGACGCAAACAGCTTATATCTGACGTCAGTCATAATATTTTTGCAAAAATATGTATTTTGAAGAAGCCATAAAACAAACAAGTCATTAGGACTTCCTTTTCTTCGGAACTATGCAAACAAAAGTTTGAATTTATTACAAGGTCTTATAATTCAAAACGTCTGTGGTGTAAAATGATAAAAAACATTTCTCATCATAGTTGCTAAGATACATCTACACGACGAAATACAGCTTGAAGCAAAAGAAAGGCAATATACTGGCGTTAAAAATATTTTATGTTAACATTTAACAGAGTATTTTGACTGAATTCTGTTTTCTTGGGAATGTGTTTTGGATGACCTCCCACTTTCTTTTAGTGTATTTATTGGGTCTACGATTGAAGATGTATTTGAAAATTAGTGTCCGTCAATGAAATGTGATTGGTCTCAATGCAGAGTAAGGTAACCCTAGAGTTAGCCAGTAAATGTTTGTTTGTTATTAAACACAAAGCTATACAAAAGGGCTATCTGTGCTCTGCCCACCACTGGTATCAAAACCCGGTTTCTAGTGGTATAAGTCCGCAGACATACCGCTGTGCTACATGGAGGCTAGCCAGTAGATGTGATTGTTCTTTAGTATTCCAATTTTACTCTCAGATAAAGGCTTTGATTTATCGGGATTTCGGGTTTTTTAAAGAGTTTCCTTTTATTTGTTCTACGTCTTAGTTTACGTAATTCATTTCGCTTCCACTGCACGGCGAAAAATCAAGGTCGCGTATGTAAGTTGTTATCTGCCGTTTCGCAAATCCTCTCGATCTGTGTTAAACTAATATTTCCGGTTTACTACGGTGGACAAAACTAAAAATAAATATATATATATATTTAGCACATTCGAAAACTGAGCTTATATTCCGACATATGCAAAAACAGTAAATTTCAGATATAACACTTATAGCTAAGTTTAATTAGGGGTTAATTAATTCTACCTTGATTTGGTATACAGTTTTGTAACTAAATTTGTTGGCAGGACTTTTCGACATTAATTTTAATTCTAGAATTACCCATGGAATCCATATGGCTTTTTAGACAAAACTTTCTAAGCTGTTCAGTGGTGTAGGAAGGAGTTGCAAAGTGGGGGGTGCTTGGCTAGACATGCAGATTTTACAATTAGAGATTGGAAGTACAAGGAGCTGCTTTTAACAGCTCCTGCGCGGCCCAAGGTAACCCAATGTAGGGGAATCTGGGGGCATGCCCCCAGAAAATTAATATAGTAATATAATTCACAGTTTCTATATAAGTCAAATATGCAAAAGGAGGGTGCTACAGCACCTCCGGTTCCGACGCCTCTGCTATTAATGCACCAAATTACCCGCAGTTCCAAGACTTTCTTGGTTACAGCGTATTTAATAACATGGCGTCACAAAAATACAAACAAACATATTGCATTATTCCAACAAATTACTGATGATATTCACTATGTATTGCACTTAGAAAATGGATGGTTCCATCAAATTGTTTTTATCAATTATTTATATTGAGTGTTTGTAAAAGGCAATAATATATATTGTTCAACATTTTGGACCCAACCTGTAGTGAACACTGTGAAAAATAAGTCAGTAATTCGAATGTTAATTTATAGCTCAGCTTGTGCAGGTGAAGAAGAGATTCCATGGCGCTGACTTCTGTGTCGGAGGCTAAAAGTTGCGTGGCTTGTTAGTTAAAATCACTCAGATACTTGATAGATGATTCATCGACCAAAACTATCTCGAATCCTTCTATTTCGCGTGTCCTGGAAATGCGACGTGATGAATGGATCCGAACAACAACGTAGTGATGAATTGATCCAGACAGCAACGTAGTTGCAGTTTACAGAGCCATGAACTAGCCTAACAGTATAGATGATTTTGAAATGCAAAATGCCCTTCTGTCAGCATTGCTACATTCATGGTAATAACGCTAGGGCAACATTAAGATAATATCAACGTGAAAGTGGCGAATGTAGCAATGAGGCTTATGTGAAACTCATAAAAAATTGAACATATTGTAATCCGTACACCTCAGAGAAGAGGAGTTAAGGAAAAAAAATAGTCTCAATGCAAGATGGGGCTCCTCCGTCCATTGCACCTACTGACAACTCATTATTAGGACACACTTTACAAGATGGGGCTCCACCAAACATTGCACCTACTGACAACACATTGTTAGGATACACTTTACAAGATGGGGCTCCACCGTACATTGCACCTACTGACAACACATTAGTAGAACACACTTTACAAGATGGGGGGCCCCACCATACATTGTACAGACGGACAACACGTTATTGTGACACATTTAGCAAGATGGGGCTCCACCGTCCATTGCACAGACTGACAATACAATATTAAGACAGGTTTTGCAAGATGTGGCTACACCCTACTGACAACACATTATTAGGACACACTTTACAAGATGGGGCTCAACCCTACATTGCACAGACTGACAACACATTACTGGGGCACAATTTGCAAGATGGGTTCTATTGCAAAGACTGTCATTAGATTATTGGGACACACTTTCAAGGAGTGGGTAATCTAAAGACACTTCCCACATAGATGATCCATTTTTGGTTATGAGACCACTTCAAATCTTTGACTTGTCATGATGGGCCAGTTACCTTGAAATTCAGATCTCTGATTTATCATGTTAGGCCAGTTACTATGAAATTCAGATCTCTGATTTATCATGATGAACTAGTTACCTTGAAATTCAGATCTCTGATTTATCATGATGAACTAGTTACCT